AGAAGAAGAAGAAGAAGAAGAAGAAGAAGAAGAAGAAGAAGAAGAAGAAGAAGAAGAAGTAGTAGTAGTAGTAGTAGTAGTAGTAGTAGTAGTAGTAGTAGTAGTAAAGGGAGTGTAGGGCAAAATTTCAGTAAGAAGAAAGCAATGTTATCTTCAGGGTGGCTCTCTTTGTTTCTTCCATGGTGCTGGAGTTTTTGAGACAGAAAACCCCTGCTTTGGGCCAGTGTGTTCTGGGAAGAGTAAGCAGGCAAGAGTAAGAGTAAGAGGTCTTAAATAAGCAAAGAGAGAGAAACACAGGTGGCTTATACTGGCTTTCTCTGAGTCTTGGAAAAGGAAACTAAATGGAAATGTGGTGGCTATAACATAGTCCACCCCAGGACAGTCCTTAGAGAGATCGAGGCCAAAGTCTTAGGCGTATTTAAGGACATGTGTTCCTAGACCTGCCTCTCTGCATATGCCCCTCTTGGGAAAAGTTCCCACAGTCACAGCCTGGATCACAATGCAGGGATTTGGCATTCTACTCCTGCCCATCCATCTTCCACTCTTGTGGCAACTGACTCAGGCCGTATTTCTAAATCAGGAAAACATGCAAGAGCAAATTCTCGGCAGATAATTTAGTAAAATTCCAGTATTAAGTAAGTTAAGGAGAGGATAGCTTTAAAAGCATTGATTCTCTCATGGAATACTTTAGATTTGGAACTGGGAAAAGATGACAGTAAGATATCCACACTGACTTCAATTTTGCTGGATGGCTGTCCAGTGTTGGGTGGCTAGCACTCCTTAAACATCCCCATCAGCCACCTGGGCACTACTAGAGAAGGGCTCACTGGCTATCTTATGGCCTTGTGGTACAGCTAACTCCTCTGAAGATAGGAGCTGTTTAGAATGCTTACTAAAACACTCAGCAATAACTACCAACTTACCAACAAGATAGAAATCTACAGGCTTCTTGAGCTCTGTTCACCTCTGATCAGTAAAGCTCATGTATAGGGAGTGAAGTTACATGTTTTTAAAGTAGTCAATGAAAGAGTTAGTTGGTATAAATGTAGGTCTGAAATATGAGCTAAACAGCTACCTGCTTATGCCCACAGGGAAATCCCAGGGGATTTCTCAGAGCTCCAGGGGAAGGCATTTTTCTAGATAACTATAATCGCTATATGGTAAGGAAAACAAGTTGCTAGCCTCATTATTGTTTAGGAAATCCTGAGACCTTTCAAATCTTGTGCCTTGCCAAGCTCCAGATGGGAGTGACACACCTTCTGGCTATTCTTTTTTTTTTTAATGTTTTATTTACTTATTTGGTACAGGGTGTCACTACCCAGCTCAGACTCATAGCGATCCTCCTGTCTCAGCCTCTCCAGTGCTGGGATTACAGGCATGTGCCACCATGCCCAGGGCTGGCATGTCATACATCACTGGGGATTGAACTCCTAGGTCCTTGCACTTGCCAGGCAGGTGCTTAGACCACTGAGCTATCTCCCTGCCCCTTTCTAGCTACTCTTTAATGGGGGTTATGCTTTACACAAAGTCATGGTTCCCCTTTTCCTTTGTTTATTTATTTAATGTTTGTTTGCTTGTTTGCTTTTGTATTTTAGAGAAGGGTCTACAGGGTATTCAGAGTTTCACTACTAGATTGGACTCATAGTGATCTGCCTGTTTACAGTGTCCCAAGAGCTGTGATTACGGGCATGCGCCACTAGGCCCAGTCTAAATTGCTGTCCCAGAGCACCCTTGAGCACAGGATCAGCATGGCCTTTTTCCTTTAATAGTGATATATTTGTACAGATCCCTTCAGATTCTCCAATTGATTGACTTTATGGTTTATGTATACAAGGTGAATGAGAAGAAGCTTTGCTGATAAACAAGTAATCAAAATTCCATCTCATTATTCTCTACAAAGACTTCTTGAGGTCTTCAAGAAAAGTTTTCTTCCTTATACATAGCATTTACCAATGAAAATAGCTAGAAAACTTTGCCCATTTCCTCCTCTAATGTGGATGCTTCATATTATTTCAAAAGACTGGGTGGGAAGGAGCAGAGCTGAAAATAAAACTAGCACTGAGTAGGTGCTATGTGGCAGTCACAGCCAGGAGCATTGTCAACCAGCTCTACTAGCTTTACAATGGACTGAAGTGTGCCTACTTTGTTACCTAAGGACCTAAGGATGTAGTTAAGTTAAAATGAGGCCATTTGGGATAGGCCATATCTTAACTGTGTCCTGAAAGAAAGAGGACATTTAAAACACAGAAAGAGACATCAAGATACTCATGCACAAAATAAATAAGTTAAAAAAAAAAAAAAGACAACCATCTTCCTGAGACCATGCCAGGAGCCTCAGAAGAAATACAACCTGCCAACATCCTGGACTTAGATATTCAGCTTTCAGTACTGTTGGAATATTAGCTTCTAGGGCTGGCCAAATAGCTCAGTGTATTAAAGCACCTGCAAGGAGGCACAGGGGTCAGGAGTTCAATCCCCGGGCCTGCTGTGCCAGCCCCACCCTCAGGGTGCACTGATATGGCAATTGAGACTGGGCGTGGTGGCACATGCCTATAATCCCAGCTCTTGGGAGGCTGTAAATGGGCAGATCACTAGAAGTCTGATATAGTAGTGAGACCCTGAACACCTTGTAGACCCTTCCCTAAAATTAAAAATAAAAATAAAAATAAATTAACTTCTGTTGTTTAACACACAGATGGTGGTATTTTGTTATGGCATACCTAATAGGTTAACAGTAGTAATTATTGTCACTATAATTTTATAAAGGAAGAAACTGAGGTAAAATAGATTAGGCATCCGTGTTACAGGACTTATAAGAACTAGGATCAGAGTCACACTTAGGTCTTCTCAAATTCCTTTTCTTGCAGAGGATATTAGATCTAAATAATTGTCACTTTCATTCTGTCTACCACAAGGGAGCTTAAGAAGTGGAAAGAAAGCCTATTACACATGAGGTAGGAGGTATAGAATCTAATTTATTAATAAAAATGTCTCCATATGGAATAAAATTAACATGAATTTTAGTTAGAAATTCAGTTTTCATGATTCATGATCTGTATGAATTCAGGCAATTATTTCACTCTTCTAAGAAGCTTTTTCCACTTAGATATAAAATCATAGTTCTAAGTACCGAATTGGTATATTAATTAAAAATAACCAAAATGGCAAATAAGTATCAAACGATGTGCCACTATGTACCCCAGAACTCACCTGGAGGAATCTCTTAAGAATAATGAGATAAAAACAAATGAAAAAGCTGGTTAAGGTTGTTGCCCTCAATGAGGAGCTTCAGGGCTCTAGTAAGATTTGTGGAGTGAGGATCATTCTGGACAGATGTACTGCATGGCAGCACTGTGCCTTAACTGTCCTATGAAATGAAGAAAAGCTTCCTTTCCCCTGAAGTAAGTCTTTTTCACTTGATGGTACTAACAGCGAACCCCAGAAAGCAGTACTATGTGAGCCACAAGGAAAACCATCTCCAGGAATCAGCTCAAGCATTTTACGCAGTGAAGGAGATGAAAAATAACGCCATCTCCCTAGTCTCTGGATTGCCACGCCTTCTTATTTCTCTGGCTGGAACCACACATATTCCCCACCAGCACCCTCATTCCTACCAGACCCCACATGGTTTCCAGGCGCCCCAGCCCAGGTCTAGAAGCCACCCAGAGGCCACAATAGAGTCACTTACCACTGGAGGCGAACACACGCAGAGCCCAGAGACAATGGAGGAGGTTGTGGCTGTGGGACAAGTTTTTCCTGGCCAGGATCAGTGTCACATCAAGCGCTTCCAATTCTAACGCCTTGTGCCCGAACTTTTTGTCTAGAAACACAAAGCCATCACTCTTAGATTTCACATTGATCCTGATGCCTGCAACATGTGCGGAGCACAGAAAGGGAAGATGGTAGAGGGAGTAGCTACAGTCAATGACCAACTAAAACATCCTGCAAAATACGTTCCCAGGCAAAAAAAAAAAAAAAAAAAAAAAAAAAAAAAAAAAAA